AGAGGAGTCTTAAAATGACACAGAGAATTTAGAATTGTCATTATTTAGAATTAGTATTACTACCAAGAGTAGACAGTTTTTGAAACTTTGCTCTTTTAATATATTTTATTACTAAAATATTTACGTTTTAATATTTTATTATATATAATATAGCAGACACTATATTAATTATAAGAATAATGTCATGTTTTAAAATAAATATGTTGTAATAAATGTCATTTTTTCTAATTAAATTTCAATTTACTTTACTGATATTAATGTTATTAAAACATAAGTATTTGTCAAAGCAAATTACTGCCAGTATCCTTATATTTAGAGTTCACTTATAATTTAGGTTTCCTAGAATATGGTTGCAAATGTAAACCAAAGTATACTATGCTCGATAAACACCACTCCACCACTGCCGTTTACGAGAAAGCATCGATGGATTCCTTTTCCCTCTGTCTGTTCATTCCCCACCCAGCGTGATTCACACATAATTGTCACCAAGTTAGCACTTCAGTATGCACATCCTAGTCTAGATTTGACAAGAAAATACAAAGGAACATGCAAAGTGTAGTGCAAGAAAGACATAATTTGCTCAGCAGTCTTTAAAATGCACTTTTTATCTTCAAAGGGAATTCAAGTTTATTTTATATTAATTATAATCACCATGTATTCAGCTCTAAATTCCTGACAATTTTTCCAAAAAATATATGCAGTTAATGTTATTATTGATGTTTTACAAATGAAGGGATCTAGATATTTGATAATTAATAATCTGTCTGAGGATATTTAGTAACAATTACTGCTGGAATTCAACACCAGATCTATCTGACTGCGCAGCCTGACAAAGTCGTATGCACCTACATTTTAGCTCCTATGTTGAATTTATCCTCATTCCCTTCTGAAGCCTCCTTGGACTATTTGGATTCTGTAAAGGGGGCATCCGTATGCCATTGTCTCTGCACGGGATCTTTCATGTCCATGTTCCAGAGCTTATCACCATGAACCACACTTAGTAAAAGGTCATTAAAATATTTTACAAGTAAGTAATCACATTCTTCCCTGTCTTCATTTCATTTAGTCAATACACGTGCACACACACATTACTGAGCACGGAGCACTGAGGATTGTTCTAAGACTTTAAAATGTTGTGCAAGATTTAAAAGTTTAGCTACAGAGAAGAAAAATAAAACAGGTGTTTTGAAAAACTGATATATTCTGGGGTTTGTTTTGATGGCATTTTAGATTTTCAAAGTTTTAAATGATGGAGCAGCTCTATTAAGTCAATAAAGACTAAACTAATTTTATTATTTTCTAATTATAAAAGTTATATTTAAACATCATAATAATTAAAAAATACAAAGCAGCAAAGGAAGCATTCATGTAATAATCCCCAAATAAGAAACAAAACTATTAGAATTTTCGTAACTGTCAATATCATTATTATGCACATATATGTCTATTATCTCCTGGTCTGCAGGTTGTGAGGATCATAGAAAAAGCATAGCATCTGGGCCGGAGTGCACCGTTTCTCATGGCAATGTCCTTTACAGCTTCTCTTTTCTAGGGGAGGGCATTCCTCGACCCCTTGCACTTCCCAGGTGAGGTGATGCTCCACCCTGCTCCAGCTGACCCACCATCAGCAGCACTCACTGTGTAACCAGTCCCAGTGAGATGAGACGGGCACCTCAACTGGAAATGCATAAATCACCCCCCTGCATTGATCTCGCTGACAACTGCAGACTAGAGCTGCTCCTATTTCGCCATCTTGCTGGCCACCCAACCATCACATTTCTCATTATTTCCTCTCTTTCCTCAGTTATTGTTTTATTTTAAAATGTTAGCGTATTTTAAATCTTAACAAGGAATTATTTTGTATCTAAAACATCAGGAAAAATCCCTGAATACATTTTTTGTTCTTTCCTTGCTATCACAATGAGGGTAACAGGTAGAGTTTTCTGTGCTGGACATCATATGTCCCATTTTGATTATCTGCCTTCCATTCCTGGGAAGTCAGTAGTTTAGATAAGTTTTTATATCCATTAAGCCATGAATAAACATGAATAGATTATCTTACCCTAATACACATTTAAAAAGCTACAAATTGCAGTAGAAATCAGCTTATGCAAGTTCCTTTTTTGCCAGATAAATCTATTAATACTATACGTTGCAGTATTTAAGTGTTGACTTCATTCCTTTTGAACATTTTTACATAATCCTGGTATAACATAAATCATTCAAGGATAAAGTATTATGAAGTTATATAGAAGGAGTATTTGAAAGGTTATGATGACATCAATTTATAAGCAGAACACAATGTATTAATATTTCACTTCAAAGAATATTACTTCTTCAGTAATTGACTTAATGCCTTGTTCTATGTCATTATTATATGATTGTATTTGCCACATGACAAAAGCAATCTACACATAATTTTCTAAAGGCCATTTCAATATTTTCCAAACACAGATTTTACACATTAATTATTATTATTTTTTACATATTGTTCTAGCCGTTGGTATATCTGTCTTGTTATACTCTCTAGCCCTTAATATGCTATTCCTTTATTTTTTGTATTCTATTTTTTGATAGATATTCTAATGTAAAATATATTATAATATATATTCTAAATTGCTCCTACTTTCTTGTCTTATTTTTGAGCAGTGTTAGTGGTAATACATTTTTTTATTTTAATAGTAATAATGTGATACAGTAAACTATTCAAAGGATAGACAGAGTAACATTCATATATTAGTTACTAATCTTTTCCAAGGTGAGTCAGGTATGGTACTAAGGGAAACTAACAAAAACAAAAGATGATAATACAACAACTCTTCACCGGTAAATAATTCTGATGGTCTCGTAAAAAGTAGATCACTGTGGGAGAAAACAACTCATTTCTGCAAACACTCCCAAGGCTGGGGTAGCAGGATGAGACTTCTGTGTAGACCTTCTGTTTGCATCAACCACTACTTTCTATCATGAAGTGCTTGTCTAATTAGCTGATCTTCATGTTTCCTAGAAAGATGTTTCAGACATTTTTTCCAATTAAAAAATACGGCAGTTTACAAAGCTACATAGTACATTATTGAAGACAAGGCTTCACATACAATATTAGGTGAATTTTAGAATTATTTATTACAATTCATATGAACTAGCGAAAAGTAGAGTTTGACAAAGTACTCAGTGTAGATTTTTTAAGCTGATTAATAAAAGATGTTTAGAGATCAGCTTTTTCCTTCTGCATTTCCAGGCTGTGCTGATTTTAGCTGAAGGCATGTGAGTAAGTTCAGAGATGCTTTAGCAGATTCTTCATCAGAGCCAAAAGGAATATTGAAATGATTATAATAATGTAAGAAGTACATGGTTTCTGTACCTAACCTTACTCAGATCTCACATATATTTTCAAATTTTCTTATATTTTTACATTTTAAAAAATTTATTTATTATACTTTAAGTTCTGGGGTACATGTGCAGAACATGCAGATTTGTTACATAGATATGCACATTCCATGGTGGCTTACTGCATCTATCACTCTGTCATCTACATTAGGTATTTCTCCTAATGCTCACTGTCCCCTAGCCCCCATCCCCTGACAGGCCAAATTGTGTGATGGTCCCCTCCCTGTGTCCATGTGTTCTTATTGTTCAACACTCACTTATGAATGAGAATATGTGGCATTTGGTTCTCTGTTCTTGCGTCAGTTTACTGAGAATGCTGGTTTTCTGCTTCATCCATGTCCCCACAAAGGACACAAACTCATCTTTTTCTATAGCTGCATAATATTCCATGGTATATATGTGCCACATTTTCTTTATCTAGTCTATCTTTGATGGGCATTTGGGTTGGTTCCAAGTCTTTACTGTAGTGAACAGTGCTGCAATAAACATACATGTGGATGTGTCTTTATAATAGAATGATTTATAATCCTTTGGGTATATACCCAGTAATGGGATTGCTCGGTCAAATTGTATTTCTATTTTTAGATTCTTGAGGAATCGCCACTGTCTTCCACAATGATTGAACTAATTTACGCTTCCATCAACAGTGTAAAAGTGTTCCTACTTCTCCACATCCTATTTTTACATTTAAGTGACAAACATCTTGCTAGTAAATCTGTTCTTGTAGGCGTAACCTTTTTTGATTTTCCAACTTTGTGTATTTTTTTCTGTTAAATGACCTGTTATTTCACAGTAGTCAGTAGGGCAAAAGGGAATGAAAAAAGGGCAAAATAAAATAAGTCAATGACAATTTATGAGTGAGAATAGTCTGCGTTAATTCTGGTGTAAATGTATACACCGGAGTGTTTACAGAGTTAGCATGTTTCAGTTTCTCTATAAAGCCATTAGAAGATCATCGTTTTAACGAGTAAAAGCACTGTTAAAGAAACACTACTTTGTGCAATGTAAGTTTTTTTTTATCCAAACCTAACGTTCATTTTTATTTGGTATTTAAAGTTTGTTTCCATGGCATATCACAGAGGAAATGGTTTCTCTGAAGATCTACTTTAAATTCTTATAAAATGTCATTGATTAAATTTCTTAAAGTAAATGTTATACTTCATCTGGAGTCTTGACTGAAAATATTCAACACACATACTTTATCCTTTAGCATTTGGATATTGTACTTCCCTGTTCTCTTGAGTGCCAAAACAAATATAATATAAAATAATTTCAAAGTGCAAAAAATAAACTACAGAAAGTTACTCTCTACATTCTTGATAGATAATCATTCAGTGTTGTTTGAGCACAGGCTTTTGGTTTCTCATGGTTAAGAAATTTTTAAAGGGAAATCTTTTCCAAAATGTTTTCATATGAAATGTAGGATAATTTGATAGTCAATTTTAAAAAGAAAAATATCTGTCGATATACATTGTTTTATATGTGATGATTTCAGTATATCAAAACAGGATATTAATATATTAGCTCACTAAATACCATCTGCATAAAATTCTGGGACTTTGTGTTACCATATTCTTGTTCTTCTCACTTTTATTATTTATTTATCATTGCAGATTAAAAAAATCAACAGAAACTTTCCTAGTAAATCAACAGGTAAGTTCAAAGCATACATGGAAAACTGAATAATATATTTCTTTATTTATTATAGAAATAATGCTATCTGATTTCTAGACAGAAATAACTGATACTGTCATTTACTATCTTCACTGAGAAACATACATTTCAGATATTTCTTTCACATTATGTAATATATCTGTTCCTCTACTTATATTAAAAAGTAGTTTAAAAAAATTTGTATGTAAGTCAAAAATTATTGTTTATACAAAATACTTATATTGATTTGAATACATTGTTGAAGAACGTACAGTCTTATTTACATAAGATAGTTTTAGTATATCTTAACTTTTGGGAAACCTACTTTTAATTTATCTCAAAATTCTAATGGATTTTTCACAATTTGCAGACAGTATTTCAAATGAGTCTTAGTTAATATATAGAACAAAAATAATTTTGATTATTCATCTCTATAAATTTCTTACACTTGATATCAACTTTGATTTGAAACCATTGATCAAATCTAAGTATCTATGATAGCTATTTATAAATGATTTGTAAATCACGAATTAATTTTAATGATAAAAGTGTTTAAATGCTCTTCAACTCATAAAATATAAGATCCTTTTCTTACCTAAACCCCAGTTCCCTTATCTGTAACGTTTGTATAAGGGCGACTATCCTCTAAGTTTATTTTGAGGATTAAATAATAGCACATGTAAAGTTCTCAGTCTATGCTATTATTATCATTAACGTTTCTAAATGTTTACACTTATTCTTTGGAATACAGAATTTATGTTTTGTAGAATTTGTATCATTGATGATGCTGTTAGAGCAGAACAACCTGAAAAGCCATGTGTAACTAGAACTCTCCAGAGAACAGCTTTGGAGGGTTCATTGTGTCTACAACGATCTGACCTAGTTTTTTTCAACTCCAGGGATCCCCTCCCTCCTACCTTAAGGCCCTCAGCGCTGAGCCAAATTGATACTTTGGATAAACGCAGAGGTTGGAGAGGTGTCTTGCCACATTCTGTAGCAGCCTGTAGTTGTTTTTAAGGCCCTTACTTACAGTGTGGAAACCAGAGCTGTCACCAGTAGCCTCTGCTTACTTGCTCTCTGATGACATCTGGGAAGCTCCCTTTTTTGCTCTCATGCTGTCCCTGGTGATCCTAACATGGGTGTCATCTTAAGAAGTATAGAAAGGTGTGGTCCAAGATAGGTGTCATCTTGAGAGCTACAGTTTAATGCTTTTTTTACCCAGGCTGGAGTGCAATGGCGCAATCTCGGCTCACTGCAACCTCCGCCTCCTGGGTTCAAGCAATTCTCCTGCCTCAGCTTCCCGAGTAGCTGGGATTACAGGCACACGCCACCATGCCCAGCTAATTTTTTTGTTGTTGTTGTATTTTTATTAGAGACGGGGTTTCACCATGTTGACCAGGATGGTCTCCATCTCTCGACCTAGTGATCCACCAGCCTCAGGCTCCCGAAGTGCTGGGATTATAGCAGTTTAACACTTTTATAGGGTTCCAGTAGAGGGAAAATATCATTAATAAGAAATTACTCAAATACAAGGAAGCATCAATCGTGGGAGAAGATTATAATGCCTATCAGTAGACAAGGCCGGTCAGATTTATTAAAATGAGAATCTATTGTTTTGTGAGTTGTCCAATATAAAAAGATGTTAATTTTTGTATTCAAGAATGACTTTAGACCTGTGTCATCACCCTCGCATTCTAACCTCATCATGGAAAACATTAATCTAGGTGTAATATGTTACTACAAGCGGTCGTTGCCCTGTAGCTCCAAAGCTGTTCTGTGATCATGATGCCAACTTCAGCCAACACTCCTCACATAGTCGGCTTGCTGATTGGGAGTACTCCTTGCCACCTGTGCTTATATCCAGGTTTACAATAATACTAAGTAAAATAAATGAGAATTTGAATAAATCTTACATAGAAAGAAAAACTGATATTCTAGCACTAGGTTCATAATATTCTGACACCTACTCATATAGAAGCATAGATGTGCATTGTTAGTATTCATCATTTTTATTTGCTAGCATGTTAATGTTTTTTATTCTATAATTATTTTAAATCTGAAATTACATAATTGAAAACTATTTTGGATATTATTTCAATGGTCTTAGCAGCTCAGAATTTCGAAAATCCTAACAAATGCATCCTGGTATTTAAGAAACTCGAAAACAAGAGTTAATAGAGTTTTTTTTCCTGCTACTTTCCATCATATATATATGAATAATTTTTTAAAAATAGGATGAGTTTATAGTTCAACCTTTGCATTACTGCAAACTGAGGAAAACTCACCGCATAGTATGATAACAATCCATTAAGAGACTAGAGTACATTTCCTACTTAGTAAAATCTATGCAACTTTAAGGAATTGAAATTTAAAAACACATGTAACCCCATTTCTGATGAGATATACATTTAAAATCTCCCTCATATTCCTGATGTTGTAGGTATCAAAACAAAAATTAGAAGTTATCCAAGCCACAGTGAATCAGAACTTCTCTGCTCCCTGAGATTTGGTTTCCAACTTGTGCTATGCAGGTGGTACCACCATCCCAACCAGAGAAATTCAAATAAAAGCAAAGCATAGAGAGAACGCCATTGCAGTCCAGCAGAGACCAGTGCTAAGATTAGCTCCACAGGAACCCTGCCACACTCCAGAATGCATGAGGCTTTCCAGAAAAACACTCTATATGGAGAACAGGGTTGAGTCCGAAACTATAAACCATGTGAGGAAACAAACCATTATAAAAATGCATAATTTAGCGATTAAGGAACTATCCAAATATTTTTAATCATAAATTTTAAAATAAAGAAACCAAAATTGGAAGACAAGGACAGGACATGGTGATAAAATTTGTGGTTGTAAAACAACCACACAGGAGTTCAAAAATGAGAGAGAAAAAAGAAACAACTTACGCTTAAAATTAGTTAACCCCCACTACATAATCTTAGTCATGGTACCCACTTGAAATCACACTAGTATATCTCCAACTTCACTTTTCGTGAAGAGTAAGCATTCCATTTTCTCTATGCATCTGGGACACATTCACCTGTTATTATTATTATTATTATATTCTATTTTTTTTTTTTAATCTTTTGAGACAGAGTATTCTTCTGTCACCCAGGTTGGAGCACAATGGCCTGATCTTGGCTCACTGCAACCTCCACCTCCCAGATTCAAGCAATTCTACTGCCTCATCCTCCTGAGCAGCTTGGATTACAGGCATGCACCACCATGCCCGGCTACTTTTTGCATTTTTAGTAGAGACAGGGTTTCACCACGTTGGCCAGGCTGGTCTCAAACTCTCGACCTTAAGTGATCCTCTCACCTTGGCCTCCCAAAGTGCCAGGATTACAGGTGTGAGCAACTGTGCCCAGCCTGATTTGATTCATTTTTACAGTAAACACATTGACGTTCAACTTGCCTTGGTAATTTTCTATTGAAAAGATGAAAGGCAGGACAGCAGTCTAGCTGATGAACAAAACAGTGATAATTGAATGAATATCAAGTGATGCTGTGATAATTCCTTCAATGCATTAGCGGTCAAGGCATACAGGCCCACACACCAGACCTACGTCACATTTTACGTGACCTAGCCCATTAGGTCAAAATTAATTACGTGTGTCATTTTTACTCATTTTTAACTGAAATTTCTTCATCCTGAAATAGATCTCATTCCTCCCACAAAAATACCATTTTTCAATAAGTTTCTCCTATAATTACCAGGGAGTAACATAACAAAGTATTAATTCATCATTAAAATATTAATATAATGATCTTTATATCAGGCAGTATATAAAATAATGTAATCAAATTGTTTATATTAGTTTAAATTAATAACATTATACTTATTTAAAAAACATTAACTCTGGTAGCTATTCCTATAGAAATATTTATATTTGACAAATCATAATCATTTGGACACATTGTTATAGTTGTGTACATACCACACATAGAATGTGGGCAGCTGAAATAGAGTGACTAGAGTCTCTAATCATGCTGGGGAGAGCTAAGGAATTACAGGAAACCTTAAAAATCTATTTCTGGAGTGGCATTGGAAAAGAAGGAGGAGTGGTATTGACAAAAAATTGCTTCTGTATAAAAGCAACAGAAAAGTAGCAAAAATAGCATCAACTTTTAACAAATATGAAAATTCGCAAAGGCTCACTGAATCCAATGAGCATTTATTCAAGAAAAACAGCTGAGTCTTGGTAAGAACAGCAAGCTTTGTGGCATTATAACTGGACCTAGTTTCTGGCACTATGGTGGCTTACATTGGCAGGGCATAATAATGATGTAGCAACATTTAACATCAGCTAGCCTAATCTTTATAATCTAATCAGCTGTGTGTTTAATTCATTCAATTTTAGCTTTCTTGAAGGTGTGTGTGTGTATTTAGACAAAATATTCTATTAATGAAACTGAGAATTGGTCTTTATTTTTGGAACGATATCAAAATCTTTTTTTTTTTTCAATTTGAGAAAGAAATTCTCCTAGTTCTTTATACATTCAATTTATAAATGTTGAAAACAAATTATGGAGTCACACAATCTCGAGATAATGAGCCTCTTGTTCAGGTGTATTTTATAACACATGGTGATAAAATATGCTGGCATTTTATGATCTAAAGGAGAATTCACCTCAAAAAAAGTAATATGTCTGTATAAATTAACTCTTGGAAAACCCACTAGCTTATAAATCATTGATAACAAACGTGGTGGATAGTCACAGGAAAAAAGGGGTATAAATGTTATTTTACAGTTAAACTAAAAGAGCCCACACCTAATTATGTAGAAACTTATGTATTACAATTAAAATAAAATGTACACTTTAGAACACTTGGAAAAGGGTTATTCAAATAAGAGAAAGTTGTGTATGTGTGTGTGTTGAATTTATACACATATGTACATGGGATGCATTATTGGAAGAACTGTCTTCTCATTTGCTTTCTTTTCTAAATACATAGATTTTCAAAATCCTGAGGGAGGGGTGATGAATATTGTAAC